CCCCCCCCCGATATCCCCCGAGCCATTTGGACTTGTCGCAATGGAAAATGACCAGGGACTTTAACCCAACGACTAAAAATTGCTCCATAACTTACTGCGAGTTACTCTGTTCGGAGGGATCGACCTCTCTCTCTATCTCTCTCTCTCTCAAAACTTACTCCGTTAGAGAACTGCGCCTCACGTCTCCCGGATAAAGAGCATGAAGAGGAATACAGCCTGCTAGGCAACCCATTCCCAAGAAAAAGCGTACTGATTTTCTTGATAACCGGTTTCAATCAACAGAAATCTTGAGCCGTGGTCCTCAATACTAGCTATTTCGGTGAAAAATGCACAAAGCCTTCAATGGGTTTATGCAATAATGAATGTCCCTCAAGTTTGATGAACAAACATCAAATTCCTCAGGCCGCGATTTGATTCCGCGTATCACGCAAATCCCGGAAAGGTGCCGGTCTAGGCATTCAACCAAAATACTTACAAAAGTTTGTCATAAAAGGTACTCGATGGTTGGGGTTTTCAAAGAGAAAACCAATATTCCAGGATACATCCGTTCCACAACTTAGGTCCAAGATATTCTAAAGCGTCTTCCGTATTCCTTGTAGAAATCCCAAGATTATAGGAATAAAGAGCTCCTCTAGGATAATCAACTAGAGTCGGGAATAAAAACTTTCCAGTCACAAAGGAACTTCCAATGTAAAGTTTTTTTCATTGAGTTTCAATTCTCCCTAGATATAGATATATACTTTCTGTTCTTGATCAAAACTTCCTCAAAGAACTCCGACAAGTCACATAGTTATAGCCGGGGGCATAAACTTATGTTCTCGTTGGTGGGAGGCAATAACAGTGCCTTTGTATGCCGTACAAGTAGAAAATGCGTCAAATTAGCACAGAGGGAATACGACACGAAAAACCAAAGCCAAGGAAAAAGGAAAAAACGAGGAACGATGCTTATTAGTTAGGTGGCGGAAAAGTAGATGGCTTCAAGGCTATTTGAAGCGTGTGTCGGGTTAAGAGGGTAAAAGGGGGGGAAACGAGCAACAAAGGAAAAAGTTCTTTTCAAGCAAACAATCCGTCGGCTAACGAATACAAAAGATAGTCAATGAAAAAAAAAGAAATCCCTTCACATAATGCAAGACCCGGGTAACTATGCAGGATAAAACAGAAAAAGCACAGTTTGGAATACACAAAATCTCACACAATAGCAGGCAAAAAGTTGGCACCAGTTTTTAAACCTGTTTTTTAGACAAACATTCTTCGTAGGCTTAGAAATCGACGTTTTAATCTTCCTTTCGGTTGCTGCTTTTCTGCTTCTGGCGTCGACTCCTGCTTAGCGAGTCAAATCGAAGATCCGTTGGCGTGGACATGGTCGCCGTTGACCTGTACGGGTTGAGTAGGATCAACAGTTGATGCTGGAGCTGCCTTGGCGGAGACTGGTGGCTCGACAGCCGCCGTTGACGTAGCCTCAGAGGCAGAGACAACGATGGGAGCAGCAGCAAGGACCTCTGGAGTGGCTTCTTCGCTGTACTTCTTGAAGTTCTGGTTGAACAAGTCACCAAGCTTGTTGACCTCGTCCTTGAAGCTCGCAGAGCCGGTCCAGCTTCGCTGGGGGTTCAATAACTCGCTGGGAACGTTGGGGCAGGACTTGGGAATGTGGAGGTTGAAGGTATCATAGGTTTCATACTCGACCTTGGCGAGCTCTCCGGAGTGGATGGCGTCGAGGATAGCACGAGTATACTTGAGTGGGCAACGCTTGCCACCAGTTGTAACACGCGCAGCACCGACCCAGCCGGTGTTCAACAACCAAGCGTTAGCCTTGTGCTCAGCAATCTTGTCATGAAGCCTTCGGACTATAGTGCATCGGGTGAAGACCCAAGAAGGGTTGAGCAAAGCAGGAGGAGAAAGGTAGCTTGGGGTTCGGTCACACCGTCCTCAGTGCCAGCCATCTTGGGAGGTGTAACCCGAGATGAAGTGGAACATGGTTTGCTCGCTGGTGAGCTTCGAGATGGGTGGGAGGACACCGCGAGCATCGCAGGTGAGGAGGATGATGTTTGACGGGTGCTGCTCCCGCCATGCATGGGATCTTGGCATTGTCGATGTATTCGATTGGATAGGCGCTGGATCGGAAACAGTTAGCAAACGGCCAAGTCCCGTACAACGGAGATCGGCATCTTACCATCGGGTGTTTTCGGTGAGCGTTGCATCATCATAATCGACCACACGAGTCTCCGGGTTGAAGACAACATTCTCCAGCACAGATCCGAACCTGATAGCGTTGAAGATATCTGGCTCCTTCTCCGCAGAGAGGCCAATGCACTTGGCATAGCACTAGGATGCAGGTCAGCGAAATTACTCCAAAGGGGGCAGAGAGATACGTACTCCGCCCTCAATATTGAAGACACCACGATCACTCCAGCAGTGCTCGTCGTCTCCAATCAAAGCACGCTTAGGATCAGCAGAGAGAGTGGTCTTTCCTGTGCCGGACAAACCGAAGAACAAGGTGACGTCGCCGTCTTGGCCTTGGTTGGCGGAGGAATGGAGGGTGAGGACGTTGTGTTTAATGGGCATTTCGTAGAAGAGGACTGTGAAGACACCCTTCTTCATCTCGCCGGCATACTCTGTGCCGAGGATGACCATCTCCTTCTCGGCAAAGTTAATGGCCACGGAAGTGGCTGATGTCATACCCTCCGTCCATCTATTGGCGGGGAAAGATCCGGCGTTGTAGATAACATAGTCGGGGTGGAAATGCTCCAGCTCCTCCCTCTTGGGCCGGATGAGCATGTTCCGCATGAAGAGAGCATGGTAGGCACGGGCACAGACGACACGGACGTTGATGCGGTACCGCTCGTCCCAGCCGGCATAGCCGTCGATCACGTAGATTCGATTCCTCGTGTTGAGATAGTCGACTGCTCGCTCTCTGTTGATTTTCCAGACCTGCCAATCGGGTAATCCGGGTTAGTCAGAGTGCCACAACGTCATATCACGTGCCCGAGGAGGGGTCCTAGCGCCACACAGGGAAATGCGGGGAAGCCACACAGCCCCGATGCCTGCGCCAAGCGAGCAGGGGATGCCAGGGAGAAATTCCCGGTGGGAGGAAAATAGGGAAAAAAAATAATAAAAAAAAAAACAAGACTTGGCTGTCGGTCACACGATCGTGTGCGACAGCCTTGCAACGAGGGAGGAATTGAGTCTGACTCACCTCTGGGGTCATGGGCTTGTTGACGGGTCCCCACCAGATTTCATTTTCTGATGAGCTTTCCTTGACAATTCGCTTGTCGAGAGGTGATCTTCCTGTTTTGGCTCCGGAGTATGCGGTTAAAGCTCCGCTAGATGTGATGGCGGTTCCGGTCTCATAGACAAGAGCATCTTCGTAGAGGGCGGCGACTGATGGGTTGGCAATCTGTTCAGGGCATTAGCAGGTTTGGTGTACAAGAGGGATATATAGAAAACCACTTACAATTGCGACTCTTTCACAGTCAATGTGTGCGGTTTCGTAGAGCTCCTCTTCGAGCTCCGTGTGGCCCTTGCCTGGTCTGCAGTCACCGTTAGCCATCATGGTGGGCATCAAGACTTGAAGTTTGTTGCCGCTGGTGCTGTGGTTACTGCTATTGTTGTTTGTTCATGCCAGCAGTTGCATTGCCATTGCGGTATATATATCAGGCAAGGCTCGGCGAGCTAGCAGTTCATGAACAAGGACGACAATAACCGCGGCAACAGGGTTCAACAACAAACGAACAAGGGGAACGGGAATTCAGGGGAGTTCCACATACTGGACACCAGTGGGGTGCAGGGCAGTGCGATTGACAGAGGTTGACACCATGGTTCTGAGGGATGTGGAATGGTAGTTTGAGTGTTGTTGTTTGGCAACTTGCTGTCTCGCAAAATCAGAGGTGAGGAAGTCGAGAGGAAGTGGGTGATTGGGGGGTATATGAACTGAAGCACGAGGAGCTGAAGCGGAGGGTGAAGAAGCGGCGGGAGCGGGATCCATGGCCTGGAATTGCCTTTTCGATGATTATTACGGAGCGACGGGGGGGGACGACGAAATCTCGAGGTTCGACGGCGAATCTCCTTGCCCTGCGCACAACTGGTTAGACTGTTCCATGCGTCCTTCCCCACAGCAGACGGGAGATACCGGGTCAAGCACGACCGTCCTGTGGTGTGGCGTAGTATCAGAAGGCCTCCTTACGGTCGATGAAGAAAAGCAGGTCCGGAATGACCCGAGAAATCCGCAGGCGATGCGAGATGGGATGCGGAAAACGGGGACAAGAGAAGGGAAAAAAGAGAGTTCCCAGGGGGACGCTTGGATGACGCTGTTCCGGTGATGAAACGTGAAACACTTGCTGCTGAAGCGAATTGCACGGCTATTAGTTGCTGAATCCTGCCGATGGGGCTGGCAGTACGGAGTTTGACAATCACAACAATAAAGGAATCTATTCTCAGAGCTGCTGTTTTGTTCTCCTTTGAAGAGAGAGCTGGGTGCTGTTCTACGTTGAGTCTACAGATTATGTCAGGGCGGCTGGAAATCAAGCTGCTGGCCAACTTTTGCTGTGAAGAGGCTAGACTGTGGGCCAGGCGGATGGTGGCTGGCCACACATGACCGGAAAAACTTCACCAGGAATTAAGAAGATGTCACCCCGGTGCCTTTCCGGCATGGGACGCCAGGGATCAGAGTCACTGCAGGATCGACACTGTACTGCATCCAAACAGCCAGTATCTTCCGGGTGCTTCTTTCATCGGAAGCAAGTATACCAGACTGGGGGCTGTTTTTCTAACACATGGATTCGACCTGCTGCGCCACACCCGACAGAATCTTCTAGCTGACGCAGCGACCAAAAAGCAACGACGACAGCAACGAGTCGACAACAACCGCAACCGATGATGATATTCTCGTTGCATTTCATTCGGCTGCTTGTGGCAAGCATCGGAAGACGCCCACCACCCTCCAATCATGACGTTGTGTCTCTCCCGTTGCCCGTCTTTCCTGCCCGACGCCATTTCGTCATATTGCCGTGGAACTCGGACAAGAAAATTCATCGCGCTGTTTTCTTTTCTTTTTGCAGCCTTGCTGTTCGATCCGCGCTCCCTGCTGGCAGGCCGTCGTTGGCTATTTTCTTTCACCTGAAGCAGTGGAAAGCAAACAGCGTTCCGCCTTGCATGAATCATTTTCCGGCGCTGGTTCCGCAAGTTGCATGTCCTGCTGTCTTGTAGTTAGTTGCGAGCCTGCGATTACACTTTCTGGCATACCGTCAGCATCCCTGCACGGCGTCGCTTGCTTCTCTTCAGAGATTTTCGTCTCTCATGATCTGTCAAAGGAGCACGCTTTCTTGAACTCCCCCTCCAACGGCCCTGGGAGTGCTGGCCCACTTGCACTACATACAGACGCATATGTTGTATTAGATGGGATGTATGTCTTATACATGCCCACGCAACCCACCTTGTGCCTGGCAGAAATCTCCCCCCTATGAGATTCGTGTACCTGAACAGGATGAGGGGGTTCCCGAGAACTTGGGGGATTCGCGGCTAGCAATTAGCTCCCGCCCTGTGTGACTCCCAAGCTCCGGCCCTCCTTTCGCCAAAACTCATGGTCACCCGTTTCCTTTCAGATTTGACTTTTTTGCTTTTCCCCCCTAAACTAATCAATCTCGATGGGCTTTGAGATCTCGGCCTGGGGCTGGGCCCTGCGAGATCCGGGCGGTATGAGGCATACTGACCAGTTTCGAGACGTTGGAGAACTCGTGGTGAAGGCATGGGGAGAAACGCCCTAAAGTCTATTATTATTTTTTTCTCATTGGAGCGGATTCTTGCGCCCGAGTACTATGGGCCTAGATGTTTGTGGTTGCGATCCAGCCGAGCTGTCATGAGAGATTTTTAAAGTATAGAGTACGCAATGTGTGCAATGTCCTTCCATCGCGCATCCAGCACACCAGAGACCCAACTGGGCCAAATCATGTTTCCATCCTGGCATCGTCTTCCGGCAGTGATGAAAAATAACTCATCACAATATAGCATGCGGCAGATTTCCTATTCTGGTGGAATCATGACCAAGAAAGCTTGACACTGCTTGTTTGTTTGTTGTTCTACCATGCAGTGATACCACCAAAGGGAGGGCCTGTGTGACTGCAGGATCTCAGATGTAGGTATTCCACCAAGGTTGTTACATATAGATTGATTATCGTAATTTATGCTCGAACCCCGAAGAGTCAAAGGTCATTATTATTATTGTCAACTAGCAAAGCAAGCATGCCATCCAAAGCATTGCAATGCATACAAAGAGAGCTGGAGACCCAAAGACACTTCCCTGCATCGGCCCAGGTAGCTAGCAGCCCTACGTCAAAAGGGAAGAAAGCGATCTTTGGGAAAAATCTTCCACCCACACAGCTCTAAAGAAACCAGAAAATCCCGTCTGTTCCCTGCCAACAGGGAAGATCGCCACCATACAGATTAATTCGATATTAACAACCCCCTCCGTCCCACGATGTCTTCCCGCAGTCTGGCCCCCTCCATTATTTCCCGCTTCGGCTATTCAAGGCTACGAAAATTTATCGGCCCGTGCGCAACCTCCCAAAAATAGAAGCTGGAAAATCTTCCGATATCTTCCGGCCCGTGTGATTGGGAGAACAAGACCACAGGAAAAAGTTATTCCCCTGCACAGCTGAAGAAAATTCCGGGGCGGGGAATTTGAGGGCGTATGCATTACGTGATGAGATCTGAAGTTGGCCCAACGAGTTGTTTGTTAGACGGGGTGTAACTAGTGATGGAGACAGGCATTGAGATTAACTAGTTAACTAGCTAATTGAGTGAGGTTGTTCGTCTGAATTGCCTTGCAAAGCTTGTATGAGAATACCCAAAGCACCCAAGAAGCGTCTATTTTAAGCGCTGTTTCTTCAAACGAGTCTTTCCAAAATGAAGAATGATACATCAAGCTTTTGAGCAGAGAATGCGGAAATG